CTATTGCTTCCATAATTATTGCATATTTTTCGAATCGACGGCCGCTCATGGATGTTGGCATGACCGATGGAATGCCGTCGCCAGAACTTGTCGAATTCCCATTTGGTCAAAAAGGTAGGAAAATCGATGTCAGTACCATTGTTGTCACTTCCTTTTGCAGTGAATTCTAATGAATATGTCGATTTTAGTTCCAAGACCAGTTTTTTGGCCAGCATTTTCAAATCGCCGCCTCCTGTCATCATGGCCGCAAGCATGCCAGTGACATGGGGAGCTGCTACACTTGGTCCTGACATTACTTGATAACCTCCCCCAGGTTTCAAAGACACAACATCGGCTCCCACTGCGGCAAGGTCAGCTGGGAATCCAAGCCCACCAAACCCGGCAAGAACATCCGAAAATGAGGCCACCGGAGTACCGCCAGGACCCTTCTTTATCGCGGCAACGCTGATAGTCTCCTTCCATTTAGCGGGATAGCTTTAAAATCAAAATGAAAGGGGCATGGTGAGAGGTGAAGGATATGCTGATGCTTTTGGGCCGTGAAAAGCACAACGGGTCGCAAACGTACGTTAGCCTGTGATTGATATTAGGATCGGCATCACCGGGGTAGTTTCCAGTAGCACAGACCATTATTATTCCTTCGCGGTGAGCATATTGGACAGCTTTCTTGACATCTTTCACCAGTGGATATGATATCCGTATGCTGATGTTGATGATTTGACATCCTTCCTGGACTGCATCTCGAATAGCCTCTGCAACTGCTGTATCACTGTCCATATCCCCAGTTTTGCCAATCACTCTATAGTCATATATGTTTGCCTTTGGAGCCATGAAGTGGATAGTTCCGGCCACATGCGTCCCATGATCATCAATAGCTAGAGGAGTTCCCAATCGATACCACTCTTGACGGACAACTCTTCCTTCAAGACATGGATGCTGTTTGTCAATTCCAGTGTCAATCACTGCTACTCTGACTCCTCTTCCATCCAGACCTGCAGCATGGAGCTTCTCTGCTCCATGGAGAGTGCACCCTTGTGGCAGTTTGTCGTCTGCGTTAGGATTCCCCATTCTTGCTCCTCGTCGCGTGACATATGGTCTTTCAAGTGTATGGCGAGGATTCACCAGCGAGCCTACTGCTTTTCGACGACACGGCTGGTAGCGATAGCACCAGAGTATCATAAGAATCAGAGCCAGAGCAACTATCGAAACAACAACCACAATTGTAATTTGTTCGTCTGTCCATTTGTTGGGGTCGGAAGTAAGAATTTCTTTCACGTGGTTTCCTTTGTCAGATAGATCTTCAAAAATGTTATCGCTGTCGAATGATCCCTCGTCCTCGCCTTTAACATTATTATCCATAGCTAATGCAGTGATGCGTAAGACCAAATTGATCCCACGTTATTCTTGAAAATGGCTTGAGCGACTTGTATTCATGATTGCAGTCATACCGGTAGATATATGCATATATAGCAGCGGCGAGACGATTCGTCTCATCCTTTTAATGTATAATAAGGACACCGGTGCGACATCAAACATCGACGAGCATATTACGATCCCAATGACCAAAAACATCAAGTAAACTAAAATTGAACACTACGGTTGTGTCAACTCTTCGAAATGCCGATCCCATGTGAGAGTCTGAT